AGGCGGTTACTTTTGTCCAGGAGTGTATAAGTGGATTGACTGAGTATTCGATACTAGATGGGATTGCTGGAAAAGTCTGTGATGAAACGCTGTTCCTCATTGTTTCATTATCTTTCAACGATAGAGAATTTCTTCATTATGAAGTGGATTCATACATGAAAAGAAATGATATATCATCGAACAGAGCAAGAACAACAGGATGAATGAAGTAGTTTTTTAACGGGGAGCATTTTCTCATGTTAAACAAGACAACATACCTGATTTTGGTGGTTTAGGCACAGCTGAAACATGTTTCTGTTGAGATGACTTCGATGCACCTGAATAAAGAAAAAAAACGTTGTTTTCATTTCAACGAGTTCATATGGACACCATGAAGGAGTGTGGGTGTGAAGTAAACCCATACCCACACCATCAAGATCCTGACATGCTTTGCTTTTCTTTTGAATGAAGAATCTTTATAAGTATAAATCCTTTTTAATAGGGTTAGATGAAGCACGACCGGAATTTTAATAAGATTCGGGGCAAGGTTTCCTTTTGAACCTATTGTTCGAATGTTTTACAAATTCTTCGGGAATTTGCATGCTGAAACGTTGACATTGAATATATTATCTATGAGACATTAATTTCGTAATTGAAAATAATTTCAACAATTACGCACAGTATATACAGCTTGAAATAATACTGATGGCAGATCTGCTTGGACATAGTTGATTGCCAAGCTAATCTCGTCAATAGTTTTCAAGTTTCATTGATTTAAAAAATTTTTTTTTCTTATTTTGCAGCTCATTTCGAGAGCAGCATCTTAAAAAATTCAGCCATTTGTCAGTTAACTGTGGTCTAATACCGGGACTGGACAACTCATCAAATTTGAAAATCTAGATCTAAATTAAGTATTTCGTTACTGACTCATCTGATCCATTTTAGCACAATGTAAATTTATATTCAATAAATCTCTTCAATTTCTTTTCGCCGTAATTTGCTACAGGTAACTTTCCATTTTTAAATATTTATTGACAGCATCTTTTCGATGCGTGACATTACTGATTGTGCTTAAGCAAAAAGCAAATGTCTATGTCAAGTTTTGTATCTATCCTAATCTGCATAATTCATTAGCTGTTTGTGATTTGTGTTTATTTTTATTGCGTTTTGTTATTCATCTCATGATACGATCTTGAAAATATGTTCTTGTTAGTTTCTTTCGAGAAAACTAAGAAAATCAAAAGGATCACCGGAACATTTTCAATCAGGAATAATTCAATTCTAATGTAATCTTTGTTCATGTGTGATGAAAACAATTTAGGATTGTGGTAAAATCGTACCTCAAGTACTGTCACAATCATGAATATTTCCAAATGACATGTTTTTAACTAAATTTGGCGCAAGATGATTTCCACCAACTAGGGAATTTTATTTTGTTTAATAACAATATAATGAAAACAAGCAATACGATCAACAAATAACTTCTGTTAACTATGAATTAGCTTTCATCTGGGTTTTACTTTGAGGATTCGAGAAACGAAGCGTATAGTGGATATTTGTTTTATCAGTGAAAACTACTCTACTTTTTCAAAGTGTCTCAACTTTATATTTGACCAGTTGAAGAAAATCTCTATTAGGAACCTTTTTGTTCATGTGTGAAATGCCTTTTGTCAATTTTTTTTCTTACTTAAATCCATGCCGCTGAATTTTTGGGCCACGGAGGCTGTAGCAGAAGCACTTGCTGTTGACAATCCTGTCGGCTCTTGTTCATCATCATCATCATCATCATCATCGGATATCTCTTTCAAATGAATGATATGTAAACCGCCATGATGATGTAATGGATTTGACACAACTTCAAATGTAGTACCAGGCATTAGAATAACTTCATCTTCAGTTGGATAACATGTGTACGCTGCAATAGATTTTCCATTGATACAATCAATATTGAAAAGCGTACTTTGCGGAACATTGCCGAGAAATGACGAAATGACGTCAACTGATGTTGAGCATGAGCTCACACTCCACCATGTTATTTTTTGACCTTTTTTGAACGTGTTACTAACATTTTTATTTACTCCACGCCAAACAGTACCTTTAAATTTAGGTAATCTAGCAGCCGCAGAATCTAATAGTTTTAAATAGGAAAACCATGGACGAACTGTAGATCGGTCCTCGGCACGGAGTGTTTGATTTAAAAGACGATAAACAGTAGCTTCGTCTGACATTTCCATGGTGTACAAATAAACTGCAGCAGCTTCATCTTTGTTTAAATTGTGTTCATTGGGAAATGTGCAGTGTTTCTTGGCCATTTTTACGAATCGCTTGATTTCTGGTAGGTATTTACCTAGATCGCCCATGGCTTCTTCAAGCGGTACTGACTTGCATGTAAAGTAACCATAGCAAGCCGGTAAACGTTGATTTTCCAGCTCCACATCGGTAAAGCGTTGTCCAGTGCTGCTCATTTTTAGTAAACTAGGAATATTGTTTGTTTTTTGTTGCCGAACAATTCAATTTCTTAAAAAAAAAGAAAGAAATGAATAAAAACGATTTTATTATGTGTGTATGTTGATATTTCTATTTCAATATACTAGGTAGGGTGTGGTAGAACAAGATCAACATACCCACACCCAAACCATAAGCGAAGCCAACTTACGGAATAAGTGGTTTGAAATTCACAGGCTTGTTTTGATTTAATGAAAATGTGTGTTAAATTCTATTTAATAAAATGTCGTTATAAACATAGTATAAAGAGAACTAAAATAAAACTGACTTTGTGAGTATTAACTCGTAGTTAATTAACTCGTCGGAAGAAAGCTGAATAATATTTGTTGATTGACGATTATTGAAAATGAGCAGTGAAGATACGAAATAATAATTATTCTGCAAGAGAAAAACAATGCAAATCAATTTGTTACATAGAAACAACCACAAAGCAAAAACAATAAGTTGGAAGTGAAAGTAAACAGTAAGTGGTGAATGCTGTCAAGCCATGCATGGTACTTCACTTGCATCGAATCGAAATTTAATAACATCTTTCCATTTCATTTGAGGCCGTCCGATCGGTGAAAAAAGAAAGATAGACAGAAAGAGGAAAATGAAATGTGCCTCGCAAGTAGGTGTTCGAAGTGCTGTGCACTTCAATGATTCTCTCAAACAGTTGATGACAAAAAAGAACGCTCGACGATCGGACGACAATGTACATCGACTAAAACAATAGAAGACATGCTGTGATTCACTGAAGGCGAATAGAAATTACATTAGATTTTCATTTTTGATCAACCTTACATAAAAAAACAGCAATTTAATGAAAAAAATAGGTGAAAAAAAATCTTTAGAAACATTTTTAAAAAATCAGAAAAACTAAAAATATTCTTTTTTTGTAATTATTATAATAGATTTCGTCTTCTCTTCTAAACGTAAAAATCATCCTCTGTCAACAATTAGGTTCTACGTACATGCTTCATCTACACGAAAACACCTAAAGCCAAGCAGAGAAACGTTCAAAATCCGGAATTTTTCAGTGAATGATATTTAACATTTTTATTCGAAAGTAATACAAGGGCATGGGTGTGGGATTTTTATATTAATCTGACGCACACCCACACTGTGGCAACAGTTTTTTTCAACTTTATTTTGTCCATCAGGGGCTGATCAATGACTAAATGAATGAATGCAAAAGGTGCAAAGTCATCTTCCTATGTTTATAGAATTGTTTATCCTTCTTATTGACATTTTTTTTCTGGCCTGTTGCTATCGACTTCAAGGACTTTTTGTCTTTTTTCGATTTTGTTATTTCAAGAGTGTTGCTGATGAAAGAACAATAACGAACGGGCGAAAGTCTCTGTACACTAAGCAAAAAGAAAGGAAGAAGCAGAACGAAACGAAGTAAAGTGTATGCATGGTCATGATTCATAGTAAAGAAAAATCGAAAACTCATAAATAGAATTTTTATAATATTGTTCTCTGTTTGTCAGTTGTTGTTTGTTTAGTTGTCAAGTTTTTTTTTCCAACATAGTAGTAAGCAAGGTATTCTATGTGTGTGTGTATGTGCAACTAGATATGTAGGAAGAAAAGAACGATAAGAAGCCCAAACGAAACGCACATTTATTTTGTTTGCTTGATTAGTTTCAATCAAACAAAACTCAAAATCGAAATTTAATAACATCTTTCCATTTCATTTGAGGCCGCCCGATCGATGAAAAAAGAAAGATAGATAGAAAGAGGAAAATGAAAATGTGCCTCGAAAGTAGGTGTTCGAAGTGCTGTGCACTTCAATGATTCTCTCAAACAGTTGATGACAAAAAAGAACGCNAAAAAAATTCGAAAAAATGTTGTGTTTGAAAGTTGTGCTTCTTGGACGAAACGATTGTATCGCATGTCACAAAATAATGGAGATTATTTAAGATAATAAAAATATATACGTTTTGTAGAGAATTTGACGAGGAATCTTTTGGTAAAAAAAAGTTTTTCTTAAACACTGAAAAATGAATGAGTTATATGAAAAATACTGAGAGCGCCATTCATTTTGTGACACCCGTTATGATAGTGAAACAGAGAGCTAACGTACTTTCTTTAGTGCGTCGTATGTAAATAAGACCAATCAAGAGATTTATTTCACTCTTATAGGACGAGAAAAGTGGAAACTGATTGAAACCACTGCATCAACCGTTCCTGTACGGTCTGACCGGTCTAGACAGGTACTAGGAGGGAAAATCGTTACTGGTTGCAACTATGACACAAGGAAATTCCATATGAGGATTTGCGCATGACAGTGAGAACCGCTACCACATAGACGCTCACTACTATAGACCAATTATTATAACGTATTTATTTGGAATTAGAAAAAGCGTTTTTCTTCTTCATTAGTCGTGAAATGCTATTATTTTGCACACATTCGTATCTAATCGTGTTACATATCTTACCTTGTGGATACGGTGCTGCTGGTACTGGAGGTACGGCTTGGGTTTTTATTCTGGCAATAAGTTCGTTTACTTTCGCACGTCTGTTTGCTTTAGTAGTTTTGGAGAAGTTGACATACTGAAGTCCTGAAGTGATTATTCCCAACCAGTCGTTTGGTTTCCAAACATGTTTATCAACAAGCACACATGGGATGATGCGTTTTCCTAAGTTTTCTGCATAAGTTAATTCTTTTTCACAAGGCTTCGACTTTTGGTAGTTCTCGGTCATAAAGCAACACACAACTTCAGCATCTTCTACTGCTTTAGCCATGCTAAACAAAAGAACAACACAATTAAGGTGTGAATTATATAACAGTCGCGTCAAGTTCCATACCTACTGTTTGATTTGTCTCCCATACCTCCTTTTACATCCATCCAAGTTGTGATACCAGCTTCCATCAGCATATCATAAACTTCGCTTACAATCTCTCGACTATCTGAATTATAAGATAACATAACTTGTTTTCGTCCATTGGCTGCCATCAATATTCTGAAAAGATAGCCAGAATGAAGGCATCGAATACTAATGACTCATTGAAAGTGACAGTAATAAGAAATGAGGAGAGCGGCTAAGGCCATCCCGCCCCCTCCACATGGACTTGATATTTTGGGAGTGGGTGTGCGGAATGTGCGTGAGAAGTACGAATAGTAATGACTGCCGAGAATACAAAGCGGCTCAGTAATACCTTGTCGACTTCAATCTTACAGATTCTTGATTCATGTGAAAGACAATATAGTTTACCAAAGATGTGGTTGTGGGTGTGGACAACAGTATAGAAGAAATCAGAATCCCTCTTAAACCACACACCCAACTATAAGCACACCAAAATCCGCTCATAAACACCCCTTGTGGCGCCTATACCCACATAAATATCGACATCCACAAACACATCAACAGCCACATGCGCATTCGCATACTCACACACATTCACATCCACATCAATATCTATATTCGCATTCACACCGACATCAACACAAACATTCACATCCGCACACTCATCCACACTAATGATCTCATTTACTCCCACTGGGAAGACTAGCCATAACGAAGCCTACACCTAAACGAACGCACATCGACTCATACCCGTAGGGTGTGCGGGTTTGTGTGTCGCTATGTGTGTTGATGTAGGTGCGCGTTTGAGTGTCCGTGCGGGGGTGGGCGCGGGTGTGCGTGTGAATGTAGCTGTGGGCACGGGCGTGGGCGGGGGTGTGGCTGTGGCTGCCAGTGTGGGTGTGAGTATGGGTGCGGGTGCGAGTGTACGTGTGGGTGTGGGATGTGGGGTGGGGGAGGGTGTAGGTACGAGGTTTGGAGTTTGGATACGGATGTGGCTGTGCTTGTGGCTGTGGGTATGGGTGTGGGGGTGTGACTGATTGGTGTGGGGTGGATGGGGTGCGGGTGTGGGACAAAGATGTTGGTGGCTAATTTTGTTGGCCGGACCCGCAAATCCGACGCGTTCGTGATCGAACCCAACTCGCTGGACGAGTTGAATGATTTTTTTTTGACGTGCGCGTTATCCGACGGGTTGGAAATTTATCAACCGATCACGGGTAACCCGCGGGTTAATGCAAAGTTTTACTAGTATAGCTTTTACTTAAAAATCCATCAGTTCTTTTTACTTGCGTACTTGGATTTTCATGTATTAACGAAATTGAGGTTTCTATAGCAGAATATTATCTTTTATTTTTCATCATATGTAGAAGTACTACAAAATTTCAACTGAAGTTCAATAGAAGAAATAGTAAAATAAAAGTTGTAGTGCATGATCATGGGTAAAATATTAATATTTACAGATACTATTTGTGGGTGTTTGGGTGTGATTCTTGGTCTCATCAGCATCCTCTAATCGAAGCTAAAGAGAAAAGTGTATGTATAGAGAATAATGCAGAATTTGTGTAGTAGTTTTGAATTTGATATGTTGTTGTGACAGAGCGGCGTAGGCTTAATTGTTTTTTGTTTGATTAGATATAATAAGCTGCCTAGTGTGAAAACTGATGCAAAAAGTTGATTCAAGATTTTTTAAAGATTAGGAATATTTTAAAACAAAACATTTTGGAAAACTCTTTCGCAGCTTTGGTCTTCATCTTTTTATCAAAATATATTTCTTTAAGCTTTTTTCATTATCGATTCTCGAACTTTTCAAATACCATGTATATATATTTGTGCATTACAATAAAGGCTTTCGTTTAGAATTAAAATGATTGATCTAGCACATAAGAAAAGAGACAACAGACGGTGAGATAAAAAAAATCGATCTGGTTGCTTTGGAATTGACAAAAGCAAAAAATGTATGACTGAATATCTAAGGTAGAAAATTTCTAACTTGTTCCAAAAAATATCGTTTGTTAGAAGGTTCAATAGTCTTCTTTTGTCATATAAAACTTATAGTTTCTGGCAAACTATCTTTTGGAATAGACGCTATTTTTTGAACTACAAGTGCCAAAAGCCAAAAAAATTGATACCCGAAGATATCGTAAAAGCGTTTATTTCAATCTTTGGAAAACAAATGGTTTCTTTGTTGTGTACAGAAGCAATGCTATATATCTAACTTGTACAACTCACATCCAAAAACTAAACATATCATCAATCTAAGTAAAATCGATGAGATCTTTTGTACTTTCAAAGCAATTGTAGAAAAGTTTTCTGAAACTTCTTGTTTTCAAATATTTCTGGCCTTTGAAAAAACATTTTAATCGAATTCTTTCATGAATTTTCACACTAGACACTTTGCTCTTGCTAAAAAAGAGTAAATCTCAGCAACATCGAATCATGGTACTAGATCAAAACCAAATTAATACAAAACTTTCCCATAATCTGCATGTGTACCTGATTTAAAACAAATACGCGAATCTCAATAATCATTATTTAATGAAAAAGATACATAGAAATGAATATAGATGCTGGAGAACGAAAGAAATACTAAGAACAACTAATGTCCGCGCCAGAATTAAAAGAGTGGTTGTTGTAAATTGAATAACTCAATAACGCCAACAGCTAGCGACCTGCGGTTTTTACCAACCGAAAAAGAAGACCAGGGACGTACTTTTTCACGATATTGTTTCGGACAAAATTGCTTTGGATACTGTCATTTCTGCAAATCTTTTCTGAGAAGAGGTACAAATGGTATGCCAATACAATGAATTTTTATTTTGATATTCTCATTGGATAGAGGGACTTCACATCTATAGTTCAAGATACAATGCAAATGGTTCTCTTATTACACTCTAACGTTGAACAAATGGAATCATGTATTTACATGCGCAAAAAATAGGGAATTTTGCTAATATTTTACTAAGTTTTCGCACTTTTTATCATAATAGCTTGACATTTCGATGAAAATGTAATGAAAAGTAAGAAAGCGCATTGTATCTTGAACTATAGATGTGAAGTCCCTCTATCTAATGAGAATATCAAAATAAAAATTCATTGTATTGGCATACCATTTGTACGTCTTCTCAGAAAAGATTTCCAGAAATGACAGTGTCCAAAGCAATTTTGTCCGAAACAATATCGTGAAAAAGTACGTTCCCGGTCTTCTCTTTCGGTTGGTGAAAATCGCAGGTCGCTAGCTGTTGCCGTTATTGAGTTATTCAATTTACACCGACCCCTCTTTAATTCTGGCGCGGACATTAGATCAGATGTAGAGCAAAGAAATGGGGTGAATAGTGAACATGAACCTACGTAGACAGTAAAAATGAAAGATGAAAAGAATGAAATTCAACATTTGCAAATGGGTTGAGCCGGCTTGAGTCCACCGGTACACGAAAAAACATAACTCGACCCGTAAAACCCTTAAAATGTAAAAACGTCTAGCACGTAAATCCGTGACCCGTCGGAGGTTCAACCCGCCCGCGGGTTACGGGTCGGGCGGGTTGCGTGGCACCAGGTCAACCCGCCAACTTCTCTGGTGTGAGGTATATGGGTGTGGGTGGATGTTAGTGAACTGCGCCGGACTCCGAAACCCGATTCTGATTTCGACTCCGGCGGAGATTGAGTGTTTAAAGGGAATTTTTTTCGGAGTTAATGTCTGAGTTATATTAGTACAACAGTGAAATAGTTTGAATCTTATTTGGAGGGTGTGGGTGGCTGTAGGGTGTGGATGTGGGCGAATAGCAGACCCACACCCGTACCACACTCACACCTCCCACCAACACTCACACCCACACCCCACATCCACACTCATACTCACATCCCACACCAGAGATGGGCACGGTTCGGGTTTTTAAAATTTTGAACCAAACCCACACCGAAAGGAATTTTACTAAGGCTGAACCGAATCGAACCGAAAAAGTGTCTATTGTACTAGACATAAAGAAAATTACGTGATCTTTAAGGGTATTCTTCCCGTTTTCGAGGTTTGTTGAGAATCGCTCATCAATAAAATTTGCAAATATCATGGTACATAGACCTTGATGAGGAAAGCAAGAGTTATCATAGTTTTAAAGTTTTCTGACATTGTACTCTATGGAATACTGAGATTACAATTGCAAAAAATGAGTCTAATCTTCGCCCTCGTCTCTCTAAGATGATATATTCGATTAGGCTGAAAATTATTTTACGAATAGCAGACGCTATTTTGGAAGGGTGCTTTTCTTTATTTCTTTCAAAATTGTTTTCCCTCAAATAAAAAAGCCAAAATATTGAAGGTATTCTGAAAAAAGCATACGTTCTGAATAGAACGTTTTTTGTGAGAGCTACTAAAAACAAGAAGCGCAATTATTTTTGAAATAGAAAAGTGCCTTCCTCAAACAGTGCCCAGTAGATGTGAAAAAGCTTCCGTTCGGTTAGACTTACTATACGAAGAAACGGGGTGTTTGAGTACCTTTTTCATGGCAAACTGTTTTGAGAGAAATCCGAAACAATTCACAGGTTTCACTAATTTCGTTACATGAATTCTATTTTTCTCTTTTTTTTAATGCTTTAAGACAATATTCAAGTCCCAAAATGTAGTCAGTAGATAGATACTACTTGAGACAATGCAATAGTCACAAAAACCAAAAATAAAATAAAACAAATATTTTCAGTCAAAAAAGATTGAAGTATAGCCAAAACTCAAATTCTTAGTCTTTTCTAAACGGTTTTCATCCCTTAATTAAAAACATAATTGGTTTATTTTCAATCTGTTTTTTCTTCAAATGGATAAGGACGCATAAAAAAATATATATAAACACTTTCATTGCTACTGACGACATGCTTTTATTGTTCTTGCCATACATGTCTTTAAACTGATCCAAACTGCATAAAGGAGGGGAGGGGGGCGCATAAGCACGCAAATCGGCCCATTTTATTTTTGCCTTTGAAGATATTGAAAACCTACACAGAACTACTCAACAAAACGCGCTGATTATTTCTATGTAGGAAATAAAGGGTTCTATAAGCATTTCATAGACCAAATGTATAGCGTGACTTAATAGGGGACTTGTATAGATATTCAAAATGACACTGCCTTCTATCGCTAAGAAAGAAAATCTTCCAAAAACATGAAAAACCATCTGATTCGATAGAGCTTGAAAAGTTCTACAAAATGGTACTATTTCCAATTCGAAAAAACGATGGTAACGGTGCGACTGTATAGGCAATAGTGGAGAAAATGCGTCTGATCTTTCTTTACGAAGTTTTCCAGGCTATTTTAACATGGGTTGACTACTGATTCAAATTGGCAGTGTAGAATTGGTGTATGATGGATGTTTTGTTTGGCGTATAAGTTCAGGACATGCTTTGCTTTGGGCAAAAGAATTTGTATGGTTCTATATCTGTGGTTACCAAATAGGAAGGAATGGCGGCTTTGGGGTATGATCAGGAAAGGTGAGACATTGCAAGAGCGACTGCTTAGTTCGGCAAGGTAATCAGGCTGGTGGCTTCACGTTAGTTTCGTTGCTTGATAACCGCTACCAATTGGAGTATAGTTGCAAAATCTGCGCTGTTCTCTTAGAAACCCCCTAGACAATGCTGTGGGCTATCTAAAAGTCTTTAGGTGTTACAGATGTATTCAAACGCGCTTGTTGCAAGAGAAGGGGCTACACTTTGAAAGCTCTTGATGCTTCAAGGGATCTATCTAAGACATAGATGGAATGTATTTCGTGCTTACTCATATTCGTAGTTTTTTTGATAATCGTGCGGACATCCACGCGTTCATCCACACTACCATCCACGCGTTCATCCACACAGCCATCCACGCATTCATCCACACTGTCACCCACGCGCTTACCTCTAGTGTCGTCACTGGCCCTCTAGTTATAATCAGTGGTGTGCACGCGAAGAGCGACACGCACATGAGAAGTAAATCGAGATGCACTGGTACATTTGTACATTTCATTTATACATTCATCTTCATTCTTTCGCAATGCCTCGTGAAGAGCGTTATCAATGTTTCTGGTGCAAGATACAAATCAATCATGGTAGTCGCAAGTATTCGGTAAGTAGGTCGCTGCTATTGCGAGTCTTTCTGGCTGCGAACTCTGGAAGACGAGTTGGTTCTGACGACTCGATTTGTGGAGCTTGTCGAAGACGGTATGATCGATGGCGAAAAGCTATGGAAAATGACTTCGACCACCTTGATGTACCAATAAATAAAAAGGATCCTCAAGAGAATGAAGAACCTATGGTAAGTTTCTCAGCCTGATCTTATTTCTGAATCTATGTTTTTTCTATAAGCTGATGGAAGTTGATACTGATATCGTGGCGGAAGACGAGGACATGGAAAGGAAGAAGGAAGAAAAACATGAAGAGAAAGAAACGAAATCAGTGCAGTTGTCAGTATGGCGTACATCAGAGTCACATGGGTATAATGGTTTATCAATAATGTACCGCTCTAATCATTATTCACTTTTTAACTAGGTCTTGCATAGTTTGTCCAGTAACTGATTCAAACTCTATGCGGGTGTTATCCGATGAACAACGGACAATGATTTTCCTTAGTAGGGGCATTTGGGTATCAAAAGGTGTACGTTGTTGTTCCAACCATCTCTACAAAGAACATCTGTCATATGAAGCCCGACAATCAGTCAAACAATCAAAAGCTGATGATATTCTTCTGAATAAACATGATGTAGAGAAACTGATTGATGATTTTCGTTTGACTCTCAAGCATGCTGGTTCACTTGATTTCGATGACCCAGGAGCTCTTGACAATGAAACTTATAAAACAATTACTGGACTTGATCGAGGTACGTTATTTAATTGTTCTCACTAAGTGTCTCTGTTTGTCTATTTTGAACTTCAGATCATTTTAACGATTTGCTGGATAAGTTAACTACTATGCGCAATTCTCGTCTTCGCTCTGTCCGAGTGGCGCTAGCAATATTTCTTGCAAAAATACGCCTTGGGATGAGCAACCGAGTTCTTGCTTGCCTATTTCGATTAGCATCTAAACGAAGTGTCTCTCACATCTGTCATCAAGTACGAGTAGCCCTCATACAGGATTTCGTACCCTATCACGTTGGCTTTCAACATGTATTAAGAGAGACCATTCTTGCTCAACATCAAACGACGGTGGCAACAGAACTTCTTACCAATGGTCCACACCAAGTTGTTCTTATTGCAGATGGCGCTTACTTTTTCTGTCAAAAAGCATCAAATAACGAGCTCCAACGGCGCACATACAGTCAGCACAAACGCCGGCATCTGGTGAAGCCTATGATTATAACTGCCAGTGTGAGTATCTACCAAAGTCCAGAATTATATTAGGAGATTGTTGATGATTATTAAGAAGCGAGAATAAAGTCCTTTGACAAGAGCCAATCTTTGATTGGTTTGAACAAAGACATCCATATTTCACTGGGCAAGTTCTTATCTTTCGGATGGTTATATCATCAGTTCCTTAGGGCCATTTTTCACGGATTCATTAAATAACGATGCAGCCATTCTGAAGCACTGTATTCTTAACGATGAACAACAAGTGTTGTCTTGGCTTCGCGATAATGATGTACTGGTATTAGATCGTGGGGTAGGAGTCGAACTTATAGAGTTGTTGATAATTGTTTGCTATATTACAGTTTCGTGATACTGTTAATGCACTAAATCGACTTGGTCTTAAAGTTGCTATACCTGGTTTTCTACACAATCAAAAGCAGCTCCCTGCTGATGAAGCTAATCGAATCCGATTCGTTACGAAGAACCGATGGGTTATTGAAAGTGGTAAGATCTAAGCTACACAATTCATAACAGAACGAAAATCCATAAATACTATCATGTTATCAATATTTCGATAATTTAGTTAATGGAAAGATAAAACAGTGGAAATTCATGACACAAACCATTCAAAACTCGACTCTACGGTTTATTAGCGACTATTTAGATATCATTTGTGCGCTTATTAACAACTACCAATGTCCAGCTGTGAAAGATACCGAGAACGGTAGAGAAATTGCAATGAAGATGCGCGAAATGCTAAAAACTGAAAATCGATTACAAGAAAGGCTCGCGCAACACACTCGTGCAACATCACTACATTGGTCAAAGCACAACGCTTCCAATTTTCAATTTCCACCACTGACCGAAGAGAATATTCGTGATCTTACATTTGGTAACCACAAACTAATCACTTTTAGTATTTTAAGCGTTTTCTGTCTGTTAAGGTTCTTATCAAATCAGGATGGCAAAGTCTTACATCATCGAGCACATCAGACAGTCCCACACAAATGAAGAAGAAATGGAATTTATCGTTGAACTTTGTAATGAACACGATGACTTAGTTCGAGCACGATTTCAATCACGTCACTCAATTAGCAAGAACCATACAGCTACTGTACAATTCGACCTCCACAAACAACAGCCGATAGATGCATGGTATTGCACTTGTTCTGCAGGTGCACGAGAAGTCGGTATGTGCTCTCATGTAACAGCCCTTCTATGACACTTAGGTGTCAACAGGGCTGTTATTCCATCCGATAATCATCCGCTCTCTGCATCTCGATTGATCAATGCCATCGACGACAGCATGGACTTCAGTGAAGATGACAGCAACTCTGATGATGACAATGCTTCCTCTGTCAATGACTCCGATACGAACAACAGCGAAGATGATCTATCCGGATGAAAATAATTTTACACAAAATTTCACGTATTTACATTTTCGTGTAACCGTTTACTAAATAAACATGCATCTCTGACATCGTTCAGGTATGCGAGCGTCAAAGCTGCTCCAACCTTCATGGATAACAAAAAGTAACTAGTAGTTCCAGAGAACCTCCAAGAAAAATGCATATATCCTCTATTTCCGACCAAAACACTAGTACCATTTTGTAGAACTTTTCAAGCTCTATCGAATGAGATATAAAGCATCTTGCAGCAAGATAGTTATCTTATGCGAGTATAGTGGAAGAAAAACCTTATTCCTACGATTTTCCTGAATTTTCCACAGTGTTGTCCCTGTGGTCACATAGTGGTCATCGTTTTTTCAACCTGGAAATAGTACCATTTTGTAGAGCTTCTCAAGCTCTATCGAATCAGATATAAACCATATTGAAGCAAGAAAGTTATCTTATACAAGTATAGTGGAGGAAAATCTGGATTTCGGGGATTTTGCTGAATTTTGCACAATATTGTCCCGACAGTCGCACACTGGCCATCGCTTTTTCGACTTGGAAATAGTACCATTTTGTAGAACTTTTCAAGCTCTATCGAATGAGATGGTTTTTCAAGTTTTTGGAAGATTTTGGAAGATTTTCTTTCTTAGCGATAGAAGGCAGTGTGATTTTGAATATCTATACAAGTCCCCTATTAAGTCACGCTATACATTTGGTCTATGAAATGCTAATAGAACCCTTTATTTCCTACATAGAAATAATCAGCGCATTTTTTTGAGTAGTTCTGTGTAGGTTTTCAATATCTTCAAAGGCAAAAATAAAATGGGCCGATTTGCGTGCTTATGCCCCCCCCTCCTTTTACTAAGAACCGAACCGAACCGAACCGAACCGAATCGAAACTGAGATTGGTTCGGTTCATGAACCGAACCGTGCCAATTTCTGCCCCACCCCTACACCTAAACCATAAGCGTAGCCAACTTACGGAATAAGTGGTTTGAAATTCACCGGCTTGTTTTGATTTAATGAAAACGGGTGCTAAAATTCTATTTAACAAAATTTAGTTATAAACATAGTATAAAGAGAACTAAGATAAAACTGACTTTGTGAGTATTAATTCGTAGTTAATTAAATCGTCGGAAGAAAGCTCGATAATATTTGTTGATCGGCGATTATTGAAAATGATGAGTGAAAATACGTGATTTTGAAATATGAAATAATGATTATTCTGCAAGAGAAAAACAATGCAAATCAATTCGTTCCATAGAAACAAGCACAAAGCAAAAACAATAAGTTGGAAGTGAAAGTAAACAGTAAGTGGTGATTGCTGTCCAGGCATGCATGGCACTTCACTTGCATCGAATCGAAACTTAATAACATCTTTCCATTTCATTTGAGGCCGCCCGATCGATGAAAAAAGAAAGATAGATAGAAAGAGGAAAATGAA